TGCATGAGTTTGATTCCTGCCTGCCCCAGAGGTGACCACATGGCGTGGCAGACCTCTCCTGACCCGCCCACTGCTCCCTTCAGCAGTGTACTTCCTCTATCTGCCTGTTCTGCTCCCCGCTCTGTCTCTGGTGAATTCTCTCACCCTCCGCATCTCTGGCCTGTAACCCAGTTCTGTACAAATAAATAAATAAATCTTTAAAAAAATAAAGTACCACTACCCTTACAGGGCTTGTTCTTTGTCACATTACCTTCACCTACAGGTAATATTGTAGAAAGCAACAAATACTCAAGAAGTTAAGTGATTTGTTTGTTATCAAGGTAACTGATAAATAAGTAAAACCTTAGCTCTTCTCTCCTGTTGATGGTTCATGAGTGAACTGGTGGGGGAGTTTTACAGGGAATACACCTGAAAGGAGAAAGCAAAAAAGCATAGATTGTACAAAAGTGAACAATGATGTAAATGAAAAAAATGTTTTAAATAAGTAAAATCTGGCTCATGACACCAAAGGCCATGATGCATTACTTACTGCTTTGCCCTAGAAACAATGGAATACCATTGTACCTCTTATCCAAAAGAGAGTGGAAGGAAAACGAGGATCATGGAACAGCAAATGAAACAACATAATCTTCTTAATTTGGGGAACCTGTTACATGTGTTCCTCTTTTTTTGACCTTTTCTCTTTTTTAAAGACTTACTTATTCATACAGAACTGGGGTACAAGCCAGAGGTGCAGGGTTTGGTGAGAGTCTTCATCAGAGTGAGAGTGCGGAGAAGAACAGGCAGAATGGTGAAGTACACTGCTGAGGGGAGCAATGGGCGAGACAGGAGAGATCTGCTGCGCCATGTGGATCACCTCTGGGGCTGGGATCAAACTTGGACTAAAGCAGCTGCGGCTAGCTTGCAGTGCTGCATCCTGACCCACTGCGCCACCTGGGAGGGCCCTGTTTTTGACCTTTTAACTACATGGCAAAAAGTGGGCTCTTGTTATAGTATAAATCATTATCTTTGAGGGTGCAGATTAATTTTCCTTCTCTTATGAAATCATATTATTTTCAGGGATGATGACATTATTGTCTGAAAGGAGCTAGTGAGATCATTACTGCAAACAGGAATTTTATACGTTAGGATAGCATGTCAAGTCTCAGTGTGGATATTCATGTTTGAGAAATACCTGGTTTTTAGTCTCCTTTTCTAACAGCTAAGAAAATTATTAGAGGCTTTTAAAAATAAAGCTGTTGCAACAAATTATAATAACAGTTAACACTTAAAAGCTTAAAAGTATCAAAATAACCTTGCTATCTTGTGCATACCCTTCTCACTCCTAAAAGTAAAACTGAATAATAGTGAATATCACACTTAACATTTCATACATTGTCAGTTATCAGATGAGTATTGATTTAAAAATAATCTGGGGAGGATTATGAAAGGATATGTGTTGGGTGCTGAGGTGGAAAATATATCTTAGAATTCACAAATGATGTTGATTTCTTGGGCCTCTTTTCTTCATCTGTCAAATGAACTTTTGAGCTTTGGAAGGTAGTTGGGTTCTTTTATTTTGGGAGTCAGATACCAGTATATTCCAACTAAAATATACAGAACAAAATTCTATTTGCAAAACTATATATCAAATCTTACCCAGATTTCTTGGTTAATTTTACCTTCACTCTTTTACTCTATTTATATTAAAATCAGTGAAGTGTTTAAAGTGAAGAGACTAGGTTATAAAGTTTAAGTTGTAGGTAAAGGGATGCCAAAGACATAGTGTTTATAAATTGAGGTTTTGAATACTTTAAATTTCTTAGTTTCAGTATTTCCCAGACTGGTAAACCTTTTGCTGGAAATCTGTTCATTTCATGTAATATATGAGAACATATATAATTGTACTATATAACTAGGAAGTGGTTAAGAATTTAATTTTAGGAAAAAAATTTTTTTTAAGATTTATTTATTTATGCAAACAAGACCTGGGGTACAGGCCAGTGGCTTCAGGGGGTGAGAGTATTCACCAGAGACAGAGTAGGGAGCAGAACAGGCCAACTGATAAAGTACACTGCGGGGGGCGGGTCAGGAGAGGTCTGCTGAGACATGTGGGTCACCTCCCTGGCTGGGAATTCAAAGTGTGCAGTGACTGCAGATAGCTTCATAGTGCTGTGCTTTAACCCTTTGTGCCACCAGGGAGAGCCCAGAAATCCTGTCTTATTTTGTCACTTCAGTTATAATGACTTTGGACAGATTTCTTACTCTCTTTGGTATCTAGTTTTCTTCAGCCGTAAAATGGAGTTACCAGTGTCTTCCTCATGGAATCATCTTGAGGCTTAATTCTGGTGAACACAATCGCAGTTATATGTCACCACAATAAGTATTTGAACATTAACTATTGTTTTTATTATAGAGCAGTATTATTAATGGAAGTATTGTTGGGTTAGTGCCATGATTAAATAATTTTTTGCTGGCTGGCAATATAAAGATTTAAGGTACATGGTATAATGTATCATTTTAGTGTATAAAACAATATTATATTTCCTATTCTTCCACCTTCTATGTTGTTATGTGTTTTTTACATATGCTCTGGACACACATTAAATTGTTTAACTATTATTTCTTTAGACAGTCAATTATTGTCTAGAACAAAAAAATAAAAACAGCTACATTTTGCATTTTTACCTGCATTTATGCCATTCCCTGCTCTTCTTTCCTTGTGTATATGCACATGTATCTGTATCATGTCATAGGTTCTTTCGTCCTTTGTTTCACCTTTTTATGTACTGCAGGTTTGCTGGTTATGGCTTCTCTATATTTCTTCATATTTTCTATATATTTTCTCTATTTTCTTTTTAAATGAAAGATAATTTTTTGCTGCCTGTAGGATTTTCAGCTTGTTTTCTTTCTACTGTCATTCTCCTGTCTTCTGGCTTATATACTTTTTGGTGAGAAATACTGTTCTCAATGTAATGTATCTTCTTTGTCCTCTGACTGCCTTAAAGACTTTCTTTTTATCTTTGACTTTGAGTAGTTTGAATGTCATTTGTCCAGTTGGTTTTCAGGGGTTTGGTTGTGATTTACCCTGCTGCTCTCTGAACTTCTAGATTCTATATCTGTTAGTTTATAAAGTTCTCGGTCTTTATCTCTTAAGACAATTCTTCAGTCCCATTCTTTTTCATCTTCAAGGATTTCAATTACATATATGTTAAATCATTTTATATTGTCTCACAGCTCTTCAGTTTTCTCTTTTCTTTCCTCTCATTCCCAGATTTTTCTGTTTCATCTTGGTTCGGTTCTGTTTACTATATTGGGCCATTCAAAGCATTTTGGAAGTCTGTTCCCATGTTTTTTTCTTTTCCTTTTCCTAGGTATAAGGTCTCCCAATTCCCTCCCCAACCTGCTTCTTTTTGTGACTTATAATTTCTGGTTGAAAGATGGGTGTTTTGTACAGGACGGTTTAGATGACAGTCTTTATTAGCATGGGCTATTGAGCATTCTAGTCATAGTTGAGTGGATTCTGTGGAGCTGCGGTTTCATAGCTGTAGTGTACTGCGGGCTTCAACTTGCGATCTAGGATTACTTTTTTTAGGGTGGGATCTTGTTAGCAAGAATTTTTCTACCATCTGCTTTACATTCAACTTTTCACCCGATTTCCTGTGCTGGGGTAAGGGACAATATTGTTACTCCATTTCTGTCTCAGTTTTAGGGAGGCCCTGTGTGCCTTGATCTGGGGGATGAGTGATTCTGCCTCTCCCTCAGTACTGGGGAATCATTACAGGTCTAGAGTAATGATGATATCCTGTCCCTTCTTCAGCAGTAGAGGTTTTTTTTTTGGTTACTTTCCTCCAGTTTAATGCAGGTGTCAACTAAAAACTGATAACTTTTGTATGTTTGTTATACTCTTATCTGAAGCCGAATTCCTGGTCTTGTTTTTCCTAGGTTTTGCTATTATTGACATTAGAGATAGTTTTTGGCATTAGCAGAATGCTATTAAATATCATTTAGTGGATTTTTTTTTCATTTTGATCATATTTTTAATTCTTTAATTTTTCATTCTGTTGATAAAAATTCTGCACAGCAGATACTAAATCAGTACTGGTTTCTACATCATAGCATTCTGACACCAGATATGTGGGGTTTTTCTCCCATATTAACCAGTTCTGTAGCTCCCTAGATACCAACTGGGTATCCTACTGGGTATACAGACCTGGCATGTCCTCTATAGGGGCATCACCTTCTAACACTTTGATGTGTTCACCAATCCTAGAGCTCAAGAAATGCCATAGTTCATAGTTACTATGGCATTGCCATCATGTGGACATGATTGATGAAATCTCTAGTCATACTCCTAGAGGTTAGGAATCAGGGCCGAAAATTTTAGCCCCTTGATTATATCTTTATTTCCTCTACAACCAGCTCCCATTCTAAACATATCTAAGAGGCTACTAAAAATCACCTCATTAGCATAAACTTGGGTATGGTTGACAAGGGTTACTTATGATGAACAAAAAGTGCTCCTTTCCTTTTGTCACTCAGGGTTTTAGAAGATTTTGTGCCGAGAACTTGGAGAAAGTTCAACTATATTAATTCTTTGAGTCTAAAATATGTCTTTTTGGTGTCTATATTTCTGAATAGTTGAAAATGTTTTTCTTTCTCATCAAAATAATGTGTGGAAGTTTTATAGAGGTTCAAAAGGAAGTTCTGTAATTGCACAGAAATCCTTACCACATATTGGGGCCGTTGAAGGGGGAGGACCTTTATCCTCTCAGACCTTGACAGAGACTCTAAAGAGAAAGAATAATTATTCTCTGTAAGAGCCAGTGAATTTAGAGTACTACATATAGAGTACTCTGTATGTTAGAGTAAGTATATTCTTGACAAGGTGCAATAAAATGTGAAGCTAAGTTTACCATTGCCCTTTTTGGAGATGGAAGCAATGTTTGTTAAAGGTGAGATCAGCATCAAATGCCTGAACAGCTGAAAAATCTAAAACTGGCTTTATCACTTTCACCTAGGTGATTTACTGTTCTTTTGGTGGAACATCTAAAGGCCTACACTTCAATAACTTAATAGTTGGACTTGTCCTTCTCACAAGAGGCAGAGATGAAGAGAAAGCAAAATGTAAGTATTTTATTACCCCAAAATGGTAACACTACATCTCTGTGCAGAATAATTTGCCTCAAAATTCTAATGACAGGCAAAGTATACATGAGAAATGAGAGATACCTGTGGCCAATAAACACTTGAAAAATGTTCAAAGAATTAATTACTAGGGAAATGCCAATTAAAATCATAGTAAGAACTACTTTACACCCTTGAGGATGGCCAAAGCAAAAGAAAGTAACAGGTGTTAGTGAGGATGTGAAAAAGTTGCAACTCTTTACAACCCTCCAATGCTGTTGGGACATGTTTAAGGATGTTTATGATTTCAACGTTTTTTTTTTTTTCCCAAGAAATGCAGTTCAACTCATTACAGCGGTATTTCAAAAACATATGTAATGTGTACATCTGCCCAGACTTACTGTTTCTTAACATTCTGTCTTATATGTCCTAGATCATTTTTTTAAGAAATAAAATACTGCAGCTAAGGTGAAGACTGCATGTCTCCATGGGCTGGTCCCCATGCTTCCCTCCACAGAGATAAACATTTGCTTTGGTTTGGTGAATTTCTTTCATTCTTCATGAAATTTAATACAATTCGTTACATCCTTAAACATGTCTTTAATTCTTTTGCAGGTTTTCAACTTTTTAAATAAATGATATACTGTATAAATTTTATTACAGTTTGCTTTTTCTCTGTATTTTTTCTGTTTATCAATCTTGAAACATTTTGTTCCTTTAAACTGTTGTATATTCTATTCTCTGTGTGTGCATCTCAGTTTACTTCTAGTCTTGTTGATAGACAATTGTCTTTTTCCTCCTAAATGTTGTTATTACAAATAATTCAGTGGACATTGAGGTACCTCATCCATATATATATAGGTGAGAGTTTCTTTATGGTACAAGTAGAGCTGTCTAAAAGTTTCTAGTAGCATCTTCACTTTTACTGGAATTTGGTCAGTTGCTTTCCAAAGTGGTTACACTAATTTACACTAAATTATACTCGAATTAACAAAGTATAAGAAGTCCTGTTTTTCTCAGTTCATTGTTATACTTCATGTTATCACACCTTAACATTTCTGTAAATTTGGTATATTTGAAAAGATCACATTTTAATTTGTATTGTTGGTAGGGTTTTTTTTTTTTTCCAAGAATAAATTATATATTCATAAACTGGTTGACACTAGTAATAACTCTGTAATTATAACCTTTTCCTTCCCCATCTATTTCTACTAGGATGTGTTTAATTTATGATAATACTAATTTATTCTTTCCTCTAGACATTTTTAGTCTTTTTGCAAGTGAATCCGGGAGCTATGTTGTACGGGAAGAAATGGAAAGAATGCTACATGTGGTGGATGGCAAAGTCCCAGATACACTCAGGAAGTGTTTCTCAGAGGTATATTTAAAGATTTCCATTTCATCCCTACCTATTGATGCAAAATTAACTTTTTGTTGTATAATAAGTTTAGATTTTATGAATAGCTGTTTAACTGCAGAACCTTCTTGAAATACTTTGTATTTAACAGTTGATGGTTTAACTGTTAATGTATTGTGCTTAAAGATCCGTGGTACTCATTACTGCTGTTTGTGAATCTGAAAAATCTCACTTTTGCTGTAAAGGCAACTGTCTATATTTACGGCATAATGAAACACACAGATGTGCACACACAAACCATCCTGCAGGAAGGAGGAACCTGAGGCAGTGTTCACATTGTAGTGCCATTGCTTTTCAACATGGACATGTAGGTTCGTCACTTGTTGGCACTGAACCATTCTGTGACCTGAACGATCCATCAAGACCTGTTTTATCATTTCTTTTATTTGGTTGATTTGCATGGTAAAATATGTGGATTTAAATTTTTGCATTTTTTTTCATAAATACTTTCATTATACAAAACTTTAAACAGTAGAAGATGTCTGTCTTTAACAGAAAAAAAAAATTTTTTTTTTTCCTTTTCAAAGGTCTCCTATTATGGGAAAAGTCAGATCATAGAGTAAAATCCCTCTAGAAGTTTCTGAATCTTTCCTGCAGCACTCATATGGGTAGTTATTTGACTCTCTTTCATTTCATAGATATGACAGTCCTTCACTGATCTTGATTTTATTCATTTAGTTTAGTCACTTTCCTGACTATATAGGTAAGAATGTGTACAGTCCTATAATATATATAGTTCTAATAACTCTTGACTCTGCCTTTGAGTTTCTTGTTCATTGATCATATCTGGAGATTTCTTTTTTTGCTTAGCTGTACAGTTTTTGATAATGACTGTGGTGTGGTAATGACTGGTGTTACCTTTTTAGCCATTTCTTTGCATTTGGTGCAAAAGAATTGACTTCCTATATTTTTGGTTCTAACAGTGAGTTACTATGATAGTATTTCAATACTTCAAGACAAACTAGGCTATGGTTTTATTTCCTCTCCAGTAAATAATAAACATTTCTGGTCAGGAGAAAATAATCTTTGTGGGCCTAATTAATTAGAATTTTTATAGAGATATCAAGTGCATTAGTATTCTTGCTCATTTTTAGGGAATACATATATATTCATTGTAATAGGTAAATGTAGACACTTTTTACATGCAGGAATTCATTTTATATGTAGGAATTCAATGTGGTTAGCCACTTGGTTCTCTTAAAATTTAGACAAAATATTAGAAGATAATTAGCACTCTGGGGGGGGGAAAAGTAGACTAAGGCAGGGTGGGGGGTGGTAAGTGATAGTAGGGAAGAGGCAGCTGACTATTGATGTATTATCTAGAACAGTTAGGAAAGACCTGACAGTTTGAGTGATAAATTTAAACAAAGAATTTAAAAGAAATGAGGGACTAAGTCATACATACATCTGGAGGAAGTATATTCTGTGAAGAGAATACAGCAAAGGCTCTACAATGGGAATGTGCCCGACATGTCAAAGGAATAGCAAAGCTAGAATGCGGTGAATAAAGGAGTAGTAGAGAATGAAGTTACAGACGTTGGGGCGGAGGGGAGATTATATAAGGCTGTACTTATTTAGGAGGATGAATTAAGTTTTTGGCTATACCAAGCAAGATGGCAACCATTAGTGTGTTTGAACAGAGTAATAGCCTACGTTGTTGGTTTTTTAAAACATCATTTTGGTTCTTATGTGGAGAGTAGGCTGAAAACAGTTCAATTGAAATATCTTAATAATCTACTAAAGGTAATTGTCATTTAGATCATGTTAGAGCAGTGAGGTGATGAGACATTTTTAGTCTACATTTATTTTGAAGGTGGATTAGACAATCTTTGTGTATTGTTTATGGACTGTGGCAAAAAAATAAGAGCATGACTAAAGTGCTTTGGCTTAATTTAATAAATGAATAGAGTTGCCATTAAATAAGATGGGTAAGAGTACTGGAAAAGGGAGGGTTAGGGGTTTTATATCAAGAAATATATAGAACGTACTTAAATTTGAAGCTCCTATTTGATATCTCATTTTTTAATGATTCATTTAGTTATGCATAGAAGAACTGGGGTATAAGCCAGAATGGAGGGGGTGGGGCGGTGAGAGCATTCACTAGAGACAGAGTGGGGAGTGGAACAGGCAGAGCTACTGAAATAAACTATTAAGGAGAGCAGTGGGCAAGACAGGAAAGGTCTGCTGTGCCATATGTGGTCAGCTCCCTGGCCAGACCGAACTTAGACCTTAAGAAGAAAATGTGAGAGTGCTGAGATTTAACCCCTATGCCACCACGGAGGCTCCTATTAGATAATTCAAACATAGTTGTCAGCAATATTTTTTGGGGGGGGGTATAAGCCAGAATGGCTTATACCCCCCCAAAATGGCTTATACCCCCCCAAAAAATATTTCAATTTTTAAATTTTAAGTTATTTATTACTGTTATTGAAGTACCATTGTTCCACATCCTTTCCAGTGTTTTGACAGTATAGGATATAGCCCTTAAGGTATAGTTACCATGTCTCTTGCCATCACCAGAGCATGCATAGTCTTCCACCAAAGTCCATTCTGACTTCCTCCTCCTTCCCTTTCTCAGGTCTTTCCCCTCCCCTTCTGAAAGTTGCAGATCTATGATCAGCTTTCAAAGGTTGGTTTAAAAGTTTGTTTTTGTCTGACCCTTTGTTTGGTTTTTTTTCTTTCCCACCTATATTCAGCTTTGCTTTTTGACATATAGGTTGGAGTTCAGAGGAAAGGGTTGATTGGTCTTAGGTAAGAATGAGATCATCTAGAAGAGATCTTAGATAGAAAATCAGACAGAGTGGAGAACAGAACCGGTGGATCTACTGAAATACACTGTAGAGGGGCACAGTGGGCTTCTTAAACAAATTGGAATATTGAGTCCTATACTCCAGTGTTTAGAGATTGGTGAGATGAAGAAGAATCAAAACAGAAGTCTGAGGAATAGCCTGGGAAGAGAACCAAAATTGTCCTGGAAACAAGTGAATAACATGTATCATAAAGGACAGAGTGTTTAAGGTCAAAGTGAATTGGCCTTTGATTTGTTGGATTTGTTAATATTAAGGTAGGTCATTGTTGTAGATTCCATGTAATTAAAAGAAAATCACTGGAATGAGTGCACTAGGAGGAGTGTGTTTATGAGAGGAAATTGTGATGGAGAGAGTGGCATGCTTAATAGTGCCTTTATGGGAAGAGGCATAGTTATTATAGTAAAAAGATTTTACAGCAATGTTTGAAAATGGCCAAAGTAGTGCTATATCAGGGACAAGGTCTTTGGAAGGGAAAGATCAAAGAAATGAGAGGCCTAGATTTTGGGATACTCAGTATATGACAATTTAAATCATTAGATATTTGTAGTTGATTTTTTTAAAAAAAAGTCACCATTATAAGTGCACTACAAGTAGTGCACTTGATTTGTTTACCTGTTGTAATTTCTGAGAAATGAATTCAATGATTGTATCCAGACCCCTCTTGCTTTTCAAGTTACTGTTTTTCAATATCATTTACTTGTATTAGAAATAACTTATTGGAGCCTTCCATAACAATGATCATGTTATTGTTTGCATTTTAAAAAACAAAGCAAAACACCAAGGCCTCCTTGGTGGTACAAGGGGTTAAGTCACAGCACTATAAAACTACCCGCAGCCCTATTGCACAAGTTCAATCCCTAGCTAGGGAGCTGACCCATGTGGTGCAGCAGACCTCTCCTGTCTCATCCACTGCTCCCCTCAGCAGTATATTTCAGTCAGGCTGCCCTTTCTGCTCCCCATTCTGTCTCTGGTGACTCCTCTCACCCCTGTACCTCTGGCCTGTACCCCAGTTCTTATATGCATAAATAAACCTTTAAAAAAAAATAACAACAACAACAAAAAAGAACACTATAAAATTTAGCTTAAGATGTGAACCTTGGCCCTCCCTGGTGGCGTAGCGGGTTAGAGCATAACACTAAGAAGCTAAAAGCCAATTCTGCATGAGTTTGATTCCTGCCTGCCCCGGAGGTGACCACATGGCATGGCAGACTTCTCCTGACCCACCTGCTTCTCCCCTCAGCAGTGTACTTCGTCGATCTGCCTGTTCTGCTCCCCACTCTGTCTCTGGTGAAGCCTCTCACCACCCCTGAGCCCTGGACTGTACCCCAGTTCTGTATGCACAAATAAATAAATGTTTAAAAAAAAAAAAAAGATGTGAACCTAATACCTAGTTTAAGTGACTTGGAGTTGGGTCTCAACCATGTGCACATTACTCTTTTAACAGATTAAGTTACAAGCTTTTCAGCTTTGCCTTTTGGAGCAAGACTCTAAGATAGGCATTTTTTTAAATTCATCTATGTTGTATAAGAGTATTTTAATCCTATACATATTTAATTGAAACATGCTAATTCTGGCAGATTGACATTCTGAAGAAGGATAAAGCAAGTGAGAAATTGTATTTATTGAATATTGGAAAATGGATTTGCTGACTTCAGGATATATCTTAGCAAATAAAATGTTACTCATTAGTGACAGTGCACTGCTTGAATGAAATGATTAAATGACTTGCATGTAACATAGATTTTATGCATATGGAAATTCTGAAGTACTGTTATCTTTAAAAACAGTTTGATTTCCAGGTATACAGCCTACAGTGTTAGAGAATCCTTCCTTTGTAGTTAGTAAGAAGGTAAATGTCAATTAATTGCAGATTTCTAATTTTACAGATTCCATGTAAGGTATCTTAAAATTTGTCAAACTTCTATTTTCTTGTCTTAATTTTAGGGTGAAAAGGTAAACTATGAAAAGTTTAGAAATTGGCTTCTCCTAAACAAAGATGCTTTTACCTTCTCTCGTTGGTTACTGTCTGGAGGTGTGTATGTGACCCTCACTGATGATAGTGATACTCCCACTTTCTACCAAACTCTGGCTGGAGTCACACATTGTAAGTAATGGTGCTTTGTTATTTCTGTTCACTTGTAAATAAAACTACCTGGTAATATGAGAACATGCATAAGAGTTTTTCATAGTTGGTGTTTTTTTCTTCCAAAGTGTAATAAAAATAAATGCTGGTGCATAGCATACAAACTGAAAAGCAATACTGTTTTCGGTCTACTTGCTACTCACTGAATACCCCTGAACTGAAATATGTGAGGTTTTTTCTTATACCAAGTTTTTTCCTAGATATCTGTTCTCTGTGGATTCCAATTGGGTGTTCTACACTTCAATTAAATTCTGACACTATTTACCTAGGATTAGTACCAGTGGTTAAGAGATCAGTTCCACAAGATTTTCTTCTTTCCCTAGTTTCAGATGCCAGTCACAAGCCCAAGTAGGTCACCTAAGTTTCTCACCAGCCAGCTCTGAGGTGGAGGTTCCCTTGATTGCTTCTTTGGGTTTGCTAAAATGGCTCACAGAACTCAAGAAAGTATTTGCATTTATTTGTTTGTTATATAATGAGGGAAACATTAAGGGATACAGATGAATGAATAGCTATGTGAAGAAATGTGGAAGGTGCAGTCCCATAGCTCAGGAGCTTCTGTTTCCATGGAACTGGGGTGTGCCAATTCTTCCATCTTGTGGATATGTTCATCAACCCAGAAACTTTATGAACCACACTTTGGAGATTTAAGTATGATTCATTATTAGCTCATCTTCTAGTTCCTCACCCCTCTCTGGAGAATGAGGTTTGGGACAGTTTCCAATTATATCTTGGTCTTTCCGTCAAAAATCACGTCACTAGAACAAAAGATGTTCCCATCATCCACAAAATTGTGAGGAATTTGGAATTCTATGTTAGAAATACCCATTACTCAGAAAATATAAAATTTCAGTCAAAGACCAAATATTAGCAGAAACTGGAACAAAGAACAATTTTTATTATTATTAGGTTGTTGGAAAAGTCATGAAGCATTTTTACATAGAAAGCAGGAAAATTACACCTTGATTTTTCTGACCACCCAGTATTTCACAATCTTTATCCAAACATGTATTAGTTTTCCAAAGCTGCTCTAACAAATTACATTGTTCTATAACTGGAACAACAGAAATTTCTTCAGTAACAGATCTAGAAACTGAAATCAAGTTATTAACAGAGCCATGTTCCCTCTAGGGAAGAATCTTTCCTTGCCTCCTCCTCTGGTGACCCCAAGGTTCCCTTGACTTCCCTTGACAATATAACTTCAATATCAGTCTCTGTCTTCATATGACTTTTTCAGTGTGTCTCTCTGTGTCCTTTTCTCTTCTAATGAGTACACAAATCATTGAATTTAGGATCCTGGCCTAAATCCAGGGTCACAGTGGTATAAGGGTTGGTGGTGGGGAGAACAAAAATGCTTAAGAAGGGTTTCTACACATTTCAATTTATTAAAAATGGCAGTATCTTTGAAGTGCAGTAAAACAAAGTATACATGTAACCATCTTGGATATTGATGGGGGCCCTTGAAATTAGACTGACAAAAGACTAATCAGGTGAAAATAAACATACATTTATGTTTGGACTTACGGAAGGAAACACTGAATGGTGGATAACTGAAAGAAATGGTTAGACTTGAACTTAGATAGCATGTTAGCAAAGAACATTAATTTTGTAGAGAAGTAACAATAAAAGGAAAAGAACTTTCAGCTTCTAGAGGTGATAAATTGTATGGTGGCAAATATATGGATGCTAATTTTAATCAATAAGGCTCATTACATAGATTCATTCCTCTCTTGCTATTTCCAGTTTGATAAGGATCCAGAGTTGTCTCTGGTGACTGACTTGTGTCCCTTCCTGATAGAGGAAGGAGGACACATTCACAAATTAAACAAATGGGGAAGGACAGAGAGGAGTTGTTCTTCTCAGTTGCCATTACCTCAAAATAATCCTTATGCCAAAATGGTATATTTTGACCTGACATAGACTGCTGCCCTTCTGGAATACCTGAAATAACGAAGGAGTCAGTCCTTTGCCTGGCCTGGAATAGGTGCTTTGTACTGAATGTGTATCATCTTGTATTAGTGAAGACATGCTTGTGAATGTCTGTGTACTTTACCCCTTTGCCTAGGGAGCGGTTGTTTGGCGAATAATCAGTTTTCTTATAGAGGGCTGTAGATGAGAACAAGAAAATGTACTCATTCACATTTGTGGGAAGAAAATGTTTTCTTACTTTTAGTTTAGGATTATAAAAATAAAGAACCAAAAGAATTTAGTGCAACAGACCACTGAATTGTTGTTGACTTTAGCAAGCATTTTTTTGTGTGTGAGCCTTCCTATAGAAGCATTATCACAAAGTCAGAATTACTACTAAATTTATAGAATGCTGACATGGACAGGATTGCATTCCAGTTCCTATGTATTAACTATAAATTCTTACTCAGTTTCCAGCAAAGTAATTCACTACTGTCTTTGTAGGTTTTTCCATTCAAAGAATATTTGGTAATTAGACTTTTTAAATAATGTGTCAGGAAGGTGAAAACTGCTGTAAAAATAGAGGATGCTATTAACTGACTTATAAGTAGATAGAAAATATTTATTTTAAAGCATCGGTGACTCCATTTAAATTTGTGTAATGAGCCAAGGTATCTAGGAAACAAAAAAAGGAATTATAATTTTTCACTTGTAAATAATATTTATGTTAGAGTGCAGATGCTTTAATTATTTTTTCATCGACAATTATAAACTAGAATTTGAAGTCACAGTAGGTTGAATGCACTGTCTTAGTCAGATTTTCTTCTCTTTGATATAATTATAAATGAAACTGGCGAGCTATTTATAGTCAGTAACAAAGTTATAATAATTAACTGATTGGATTACATGGGATTTTAGATTTTTGTCATATCAAGTGTAGTTTTTGGAACTCTAGATTTCAAGCTATTGTTATCTTTTATTTGAATTTAAGAAATAGATTTAGAACTTTAGCTCTAAGTTTATGTTTTCGTGCTTGAGTAGATCTTAACCAAACTTTTATCAACTATTTTCCCATCATAATTTTCTATTTCATTACCTAAGTAGATTGCATATTTTTAAAAATTATTCATGTTAATTCCACTCCTTTTGACATCTGAGAAAAGATTTACAGAGAGTGTTAGATTTTGGAGACACAGACTATAATCTCTAAATATAATTAGTTCTAAATAGCTTTCATAAATTTAGGCCAGTGTTTCCTATCCCCTATTAATGTTATGAATAGTCCTATCCAAACAGTTTGCTGAGTTTGAAAGCTGGTCTTTTATCTACTAACCTTTGAAACATGTATGTTCTGACTGAATTATTAGTTCTAGGTTGAACTGTCATCTTATTTTTTTTTAAAGATTTATTTATTTGTGCATACAGAACTGGGGTACAGGCCAGAGGTACAGGGGCAGTGAGAGGGTTCACCAGAGATAGAGCCGGGAGCAGAACAGGCAGATGGACAAAGTACACTGCTGAGGGGAGCAGCGGGTGGGTCAGGAGAGGTCTGCCACGCCATGTGTTCACTTCCGGGGCATGCTGGAATCGAACTCATGCGGAAGTGGCTTAAGCTTCTTAGTGCTGTGCTTTAACCCACTGCGCCACCAGGGAGGGTCTGAACTGTCATCTTTAATAGGCTTTTTTTTTGTCATTGGAAAGTAAAGTCCTTTCTTGGATTTTCTTTCAGCTTGGGCCCATGGCTTAAATCCTTCTTTTTATTATATCACTTTTCATGTTTTAATTGAAGTATAATACAGCGGTGGACTCGCTTTTTTGTCTTGTTACTTACTTCTCTTTCCTACATATGCTCTTTTGTCTCTGCTTGTAATAAATTTTTCCACGCTTATTTCTTTTTCCTGGTCAGCCCTTTAATCACATGCACATCTTTAATATTCAGACCGGGTGCGTTGCTGCATATGTGCTCAAAAACAAAACACACGCACACACACACACACAAGAAAGAAAGACAACCATTGGAATCTGTTCCTTCATTGTACTTTCCACACTACATTACATTACAATGACCACATTGCAGTTCTTCTCGCACCTAAACATAATTGTCTTGTTAACATTCAGACATGTAGCTTTTAGCACAAGGTCAGACACATACTAGTATGTTTTACTATGTTTGCTTGCAATATATGAAATTGTCTGACTATAACTGACCTGTACATTTTTTTCTCTTTTCAAGAGTGTGTTGCTCTGTGGTTGGTCCCAAGTTAATACATATTTTATTTTATTCCATATTATTCTGAGATGTATTTCTTAAAATGAGGAAACCAAGGCTATGAGAGAAACATTCTCAAGATAGAATGACTAATAGGTGTCATAACTGGCATGAATGTTGAAACCCCCAAGTGCATGCTTACTCTCAGCTTAAGACTTAAAGACAGTTTATTGACACACAGTCGTTTTATTCTTTAATCTTTCATGAGTAGGTTGTAACTGAAGATAAAAAGAGTCAGTCATGTGGTTGTGGTTGTGGCAAGCCATTTTCCTCATTCATTTCAGGCAGTCTTGCAGATTCGCTTTTCCAATGGAGCTTACCCCAGCCCTTTGGGATAGTTGCAAATGATTATTTTTTATTTCTCTTCAATAATTAATTTCTTTTGATCCAGGCAAGATCAATGAATGGTTGCCCATTTACCAACAGTGAAGCAGGTAATAGCACTATGCTTTAAGAACTATGATAGACAGTTATGTTCCTTAATGTTGATCACACTTACATAGAATTTAGCTATATTATTTGAAAGAAGATACTTGTACATATTCTCTTTTGTAAATACATTTCAAATAAATTAGGAAAGAGCTTTTAGAGTTTCTATAAAACTTACTGTAAGTGTGAGTAGCTTACTAACTCAGCAATTGCTTCAAGTAGTAGACTCTGGGTTCTGAGGGAATTAATAAAATGTTTTTGGCAAATTTTAGAGACAGAACTCATTTTCATTATTTTTCTCTTTGTATCTAACTAAATGTATTGTCTTTTAGCATGTATTATCTCAATTAAGAATGTGTACATTATATCCCTTGCCACAATTTAGTTTACAACCTTAAGGCCATCTTTCAGAAAGAAAGAAGTAGTTCAGTGATTTTGTGTGCCCTCCTTCATTATCCTCTTTATCTGCTTGTAATGATATAATGCTTACAGACATTTTAAGTAAATCTCAGAAGGTTATTGCTCTTGAGAACAGGTAGCTTTCCTAAAAATGTTAAGTCTATTACTGATGTTGGGAAATATTTGGATATTTTGCCTAGCTGTTTTTGTTTCTAATGAAAATATAATCCTGGCATTAAGAAACTAGTTCTAAAGCTGGATCCTCCTATGGGGTGAGGTATTACTTGATTGGATTGTGAGGTGCCAACCAAGAACTGTTTAGAATGTTGGAAATGTGATATATTGCTGTTGTGAACCAGAAAAGTTATACCTATAGGTGGGTGATAAATTAATTGCAATTTTGCTGGTACAGTGTAACTTTGGGTGTTGATTTATCAATTGCAATAGAGTAAGTAATGTAATTACCACTTGTAACTTCTTTAAGTAAAAATAGGATTTATTGCCTTCCATCTTGCCAGAACTCAGCTGGTAATTCATGTAAATGTTTGGGTTAAAAAAAGTAAATGTTTGGGTAATAGTAATATAATCTATAATAGTATATTTTCACTTGCTTTAGCAAGCTGTGTAGATATGACAGGCTATATAGAAAAATCACAGTCTATAGCCAAAAATGAACAGATCGCTAAACTTAAAAGTGAACTTTAAAGCCTTTTTTTATTGGTGACCATGGCAAATTTGACTGTTTTTCTTTAAAATTTGATCTACTTCTTTCCACACATTTCTAGCTCAACAAATGGTATTTATTTAGGGGATTTATAAATTCAGTTGTCAAAGGTAAAAAAAAAATTGGAAGATGCAATTCTCATTTAGTGTGTTATGCAAACACAAATTATCCAAAGATACTTATTATATGTACTTGCTCAGTTTCTAGAAGTATAGAAACTAGAAAGTAATTTCCCCCAAGATTGCTGTCTTCCTCCTTTTGCTTCACGAGGTTTCCCCTTCCTTCCTCTTCCCCTCTCCCCTCCTTGTCTCCTCTCTTCTCCTTCCCCTCCCTTAAATGGAGTGAACAGATACCAGACTAGGAAGAGAAGGCGATAATTTACACATTATTTACATATCCCATCTCAATTTACATATCAGACTCCTGTGATTACTCTCCCTATTCCTAAAAATTTTTAATACTCCATTTAAATAAATTCAGTTATCTGGTATTATAGTCATTCTTGATTTTACTGTAAAATTTTAAGTGTTTATTAGCTCATTGATAATCTAAAACAATGAGATGGAATTTGTTTTTGCAATCTGAGAAGTCACACAATGATAGATTATAGGACAAAAGCACTGGGAATAATCTACCCTCACGACCTATGTGGTATTCAGTTAAAATACATGTATTACTGTGATTACCATTATATGAAAAAATACAATAGTATGGCTTCCTTTTTGGTGTCTCCCACCTACATTTTCAATCAACAAAATAAAATAGCATTTCAAAGTATAATTTACATTTGTATTCTTTATTTTCTAAATTGAACGAGAAATAATATAAAGTAACATTTAAAACGTTGCCTAAAATGTCACTGATGGTATGGTCACACTGTAGCTGTGGCCACACCTGTATCAAAGAATTAATTATCAGTATCTTCTTGATTGAAGAATATTTATAGGGGCTTCCCTGATGACCTGGGGTTAAATCTCAGCACTATCACCACTGTGGCCAACATCTGACATTGATCCCAGCCAGGGAGTTAACCCAAATGGCGCAGCAGACCTCTCCTGTCTTATCTAGCCTCTCCTGTCTCACTCACTGCATCCCTCAGCAGTATATTTCAGTTCATCCACCTGTTCTGCTCCCTGCTCTGTCTCTGGTGAATCCTCTTACCCACCCACACACACCTCTGGCCTACCCCCTTGTTCATCTATACAAAAAAAGAACAGTTGTAGAATTATGTTAGAAATAAAAATCTTATAAGCCTGAAAATCTCTATTATCTACAGTTTGCTTTTTTATCATAGTCTTTGCCTTCCTGAAGATTCTTCTCATAATTTTTTGAATTAACATAATAGTTTATTTTTATATCATTTTGTGCCTTTTTCCATCTCAGTTGTAATCGCCATGGGTTTCCCACCACCAATTCACCCATCACCATAGTTCAGTGCACTTCCTCCTCCATTTTTGATCCCATTCCCCACTCTACCCCTGTAAAATGTCTCATATATATTTATTCATTATTATTATTGTTTTCTCCCCTGGTCTTTTATTCTCCTGCAGTGAGTGAAACCATACAGTATTTTTCCTTTTCTTTCTGGCTTATTTCAGCTCCATCCATGTTGCTGCAAAAGAATTGTGTTTATCTTTTTTTATTGCTGAGTAATATTCCATTGTGTATATGTACTACATCTTTTTAATCCAGTCATCTATTTTTGGGCATTTCAGTTGATTCCATGTCTTTCCTATTGAAAGTAAAGCAGCAATAAACATGGGGGTGTAGGTGTCTCTTTGAAGCAGTGTTTTTGTGTCTTTTGAGTAGGTATCTTGGAGTGGGATTGCTGGGTCATCCAGAAGCTCCATTTTTATCTCATACTTTTTTAATCTACAGTAGATGCGTGGCAACAATTTACTGAAGAATTTTAGTTTTTGTGATCACAGATCCAGTCATAACAATACTCAATAACGAATTATGTTTAAGTTGTTTTAATAGTGATTTATTTAAAAGGAATGAAACACAAAGATTTAGTCTAACACTTGAGTTTTTGATGTCTTGGAAGATTTTTTTCCCAAGAATTTAATTTCTTTAACATTATTCAGTACAAATGAGTGTGTTTTGGTTCAGTTATGCTCTTAACATGAATTCTTTTAGCTATTGTTTATAGAAAAATTATTTGCCCTTTGAGTGCTATTTTCACAGGACATAGAATTTGAACTTAACAATGTCTTTTCCTTTAAACACCTTTTGTCCTCTTTTATTGTTTTTCGACTCCCTTGTTTATAAAGAGAAATTGTTGCTTATTTTAGTTCCTGTTTGTATTATTTTTTCTCCCTAATCTGACCACATTTAAGATCTTCTTTTTGTCACCAAAGTTGATTTTTGTTAGCCTTGGTGTGGTTTTCTTTGAATTTTTTCTTGTACTGGGTTCATGAAACTTTTGGATAAGTGAGGTTATAGTCTTCATTTTAATAAATAAATATATATATATATAATAGAGGTTTTAAAGACTTGTTTGCTAATTCCATCGTCTCTTTAATTTTAGGACTTTTTCTGTTGGTTGATTTTTTTGTTGTTGTTGTTGTTCTGTTGGTTAATTTTTATCCAGGTTTGGGTCAGTCACATCTTCCTGCTTGCTTCATACTTCACTGGGTGTTAGAATAATGATTGCTCGTGACTATCTGAATTCTGCTGTCATTCTTTAAAAGATGGAATTTATTTTGATAAGCAGTTTACTTCTGGATCAGCTTGATATTTTTGGGAATTTTAAAGTATTTGTTGGGTCAAGTCTTAAGTAGCTTTTACTCTAGAATTAGCTTATTCCTATTTATTAAATATGACCTTTTGAATTTATGGATATTTCAAATGTTGATGAACGTTTCTTAGTTCTGGCTAGTTCAAACTTCAACATATAAGCTTATCTATGATGTTTTAGTAAACCTCACAAATAAAGAAAAAGATATTCATGCTTTTTAAATATACATTTACCTGTCACATTGAAAATCCTACTTTCTCTGTTACTTGTTGACCTTGTTAGTTACCTTTTGTTATATTCTTTTTTACTTATTTAATAAATACTGGATATATAAATCAGTCACCATATCAATATGATTAATCAAGCATGTATCCTGCCATTATGATGTTTACAGTGTATCCTGTAAGAAAAAGAAATATAGATGATCTAAAATTAATGGAATTTGCCCAAATTTTCTTCTGATTTTTAAAGCTGCTTTTTGGTTAATTAAAATTTTTGTGCTATTTTAGGTATAATGTATTTATCTTTCAGATTTTTATAAGTCATGATTTCTTTTTAGCATTTGAATTCAGAAATTAAAATTTATCCTTGGAAGTAATATTATCAGGATGAACTTACTGCCCAGAAAAGAAATCTGAGGCTTTATAATCTTGTTTAATTTGACTTTCAGTGGAAGAATCAGACATTATTGACCTGGAAAAACGCTATTGGTTGCTGAAGGCTCAATCCCGGACTGGACGATTTGATTTAGAGACATTTGGCCCATTGGTATCACCACCTATTCGTCCATCTCTAAGTGAAGGTAGGAATTATTTTGTTTTCTAGAAACAATATAAATATTCTTTGGTAAGTGCATACATGTGAATCCATACATCTTATTTCCATACATCTTTCACTCTAAAAAGATTATACAGTTATAGGTTTGTAAGGATTGTTTGTGCATATAACATAGTTTAGTAGGGGAAAACTAAATTAGAAATTTAGATAGTAATATTGAACTTCATTCTACTTGTGTAACCCTGCACACATCAGTGTAGCTTTCTATACCTGAATATCCTTACATATGGAACGAGTTTGACCAAATTGATGGTTATGAAACAGTACTCCCACCAGCAGCTAGTACAGGGTTTAGGGGATTAGCCTCTGAAGGGCAGAGCTCCTGGTTTCCACATATAACCCTACCGCTTCCTCAGCTCAAGTGCCTCTACTCTTTTCTTTTACCTAAAAAGGTTCCACTACTGTGTCTTTCCCACACACAAATATTGGAAAAAATCACCGAATTGGACAATCTCTGATATCCTCGCATGCTGCAAACTTACTACTATGACTTTAAAAAACAGATATAGAAGGTGTAATTGAGGGTGCTGTCATTAAGATCATATTTGAAATCTGAATACTTTGGTTCTGATTCTAAACTTTTTTTATTTTTCTTACTTTTGGCAGATTTCTTAACCCTTTCTGTGCTTTAGTTTACTAATCTTTAAACAGAGACATGGAATTATATTCTTGAAATATACCACCATCTATGTTCTTCAGATTCCGAAGTTATTACTTCAGTAGTACTCATTACTGCCAGAGCAGATAGGGCTCTGGGCTTCCACCTCCTTCCACAGTGCAGTTGTGTTGTTGTTGGTTTTTTTCTTTAGAGTCGGAGATTGATTTATCATTTTATTTGAAACAAAATAATTCATTTTCTGGTTTTTGCAAAAAGTGGGAAAAATCATAGGATTTAGTTATAAATTTCCTTTCACTTCTGAAATTTAAAATATGAATTATAACAAGGAGGAGAACAAAGAAGACTATAGCTGAGTGCTTCATGTAAGAGCTCTATAGGAGCTTATTAACACTTTGCTCTATCTTTAAGTATGTATTTCAACCTTTCTTCCTCTTTTTTCCTTTTCATATTTTATACTGTACTCGTTTTTAGCTGTTAGAGTTGATGTAAGATAGAGGCAAACATATCAAAATGCTGAGGGATATATTTTTTGCTACGATCTTAGGTTGTAGTTGTAATTATATCAGAAGAAAAACCTCTCTATGGAAACTAATGATAAACTTTTTCTTTAATTCATCCCATTTATGGGGAAAAGGCATGCTTCCTTTTATTAACACATCATATCGGGGCCCTCCCTGGTGATGCAACAGGTTAAAGCATAGCACTATGACGCTCTGCACAGACACTGCAGCATGAGTTCCATCCCTGACCAGGCAGGTGATCCACGTGGTGCAGCATATCTCTCCTGTCTTGCCCGCTGCTCCTCTCACAAGTATACTTCAGTCTGCTTGTTCTGTTCCCCACTCTGCCTCTGGTGAATCCTCTGACCTCCCATGCCTCTGGCCTATACCCCAGTTCTTGTATGAATAAGTAAATAAATCTTTTTTTAAAAAGTCATATAAACATTAATTATGAAATATGGTATCTTCTGATTTTATAGGTTTATTCAATGCTTTTGATGAAAATCGTGACAATCATATAGATTTTAAAGAGATATCCTGTGGATTGTCAGCTTGTTGCAGGGGACCACTGGCTGAAAGACAAAAATGTGAGTATGCTAAACTTTGTCACAAAATTTACAGACTTATGTATGTAGAGAAATAAAATTTAGCAATCATCCATGTAAACTCATTTGTGGATTAAGTCTTGAATTTTCATCACTGTCAAGTGGTCAAAAAGTAGTCTTTTGTTGAGATTTTACTGAGGTCAGTATAAGAATTAAATTACTTATTCTTTCTTATAGTTGAATAGTTTGGGATCTGTGCTATTAAGATGAGACCAATTTTCTGATGAATTTGCAGTTTATGATAAATAAACTGTATTATATTAGCCTTAATGTATTAAGCATTTAGGAAATATTTACTGATAGTCTATATGGGTAATTTTGTGTCTTGCATAATTTGAAGAACATCTCATTTTCTGTCACATATATTAATATTTTATTAGCAAAATAAAATCTGTGATCAAAACATAATCTAACTAAATTCTAAGATGTCTTTCTAAACTAGCTAAAATGTCATTATAGCATAATTTGTAGGTACATTGTATTGTTACCTCTTAACCATATTTGTGACTATGTAGCAGTTTACATTTAATTAAATTACATTGGAAACTAATTCTAATATATTAGGCAGGATGATCATTATCTCTGCTTTTCTAAAATACAGATTCACAAATGTTGCCTACTTTGGAGGTGGCATTCGATATTTTGATCTTTAATAATGTACTTAATTGATTTAGTAGCATAATTTCTACAGGGGTAAAAATTAATTTTATTTAATTTTCATCAAAATTAAATAATTACTTATTCTTAAAAATTCAGGTTTTGTTTTTCTTTCCTAATGATATACCATTATTCCTGACTTTATGAAAGATTATTGGTTCCCATTAAAGTTCTAACATTAAAATCTTAATTTTTCAGTTGAGAGTAATTATTTATTAAGACTTTTTTTTTTTGCTTATGAACTAATGGTACTTAAACTAGAATGACTTTATTTGGAGTTAATTAGCAAATTGCTGATATTTCTAGTTCTTAGCATGTTATACTTAAATGTCATTCAAGAGCTAAAATTATTCATGGTGTCTATTAACAAACTTGTTCTTTCCAGAGGTAATTCTCCAGCCCGCCTGCAACTATGCAGGTGCCTCTTTTTCTTTCTCTTTCTATGAAATTTGTCCTTTCAAAATGTAAAAAAAAAAAAAAAGAAATTATTCTCTGACAGTTATTTTTTGTGTAAATTAATTACATTGGAGAGGAAGTAGAAGCATACTATCTTTATATCAGCTTATTACTGATTCTTAGTACAAATAAAATATTTTCAGCATTGTAAGAACAACTCTGTATGATCCATTTTGAATATTAGAAACTAACTTAAAGATTTGAATTACCTCCTAATTCTGTGAGTTGTTCTAATATTTACTAAAAATATCCAGTAACTTGGCTATATATATATTTTTAAAAGATTTATTTATCTATTCGTACAGAACTAGGGTACAGGCCAGAGATGCAGAGGCTGAGAGGATTCAGCAAAGACAGAGTGGGGTACAGAACAGGCAGATTGATGAAGTACACTGCTGAGGCGAGCAGCAGGCGAGTCAGGAGAGGTTTGCCACACCATGTGGATCTCCTCTGGGGCAGGCGGCTATTGAACTCATGCAGAAATGGCTTAAGCTTCTTTGTGCTGTGCTTTAACCCGCTGCGCCACCAGGGAGGGCCACTTGGCTATATTTTTTAAAGATTTATTATTTATTTATTTATATATACATGAACTGGGGTGTAGGCCAGAGGTGTGGGGGGCGAGAGGATCCAGTAGACCATACCAGGCAGATCTGCTGAAATACACTGTTGAGGGAAGCAGACGGCAAGGGAGGGATCCCCTGGCCAGGGGTTGAACTTATGTTGCAGTGGCTGGCAATAGCTTGATAGCATGGGACTTAACCCTTGTGCCACCAGGGAGACTCTTTTCTAGTTTTTAAAAAATTTAGCTCTAGATGGACTGAAAGGTAGGGCTTCCCAGACTGGGCATTTATTTAAAGAGAAAATTATGAAGAATGAGCAATAAATCTTCTTAAATTCATAGGATTTTAATGACATAGTTTGTTCCAGATGAGAATTTAATATAGAAATACTTGGTGAGCTAACTTACTTTGCTAGGGCAATTTCTAATAAAATGTATTGTACTTCAGAATACAAAAGTAATTTTCTTCACTAAGAGTTTCTTTTCTTTAGTTTGCTTCAAGGTGTTTGATGTTGATCGTGATGGAATTCTCTCCAGAGTTGAATTGAGAGACATGGTGGTTGCACTTCTAGAGGTTTGGAAGGACAACCGCACAGATGATATCCCTGTAAGTACTGATTCTATAGATCATGTTGCATGTAAACTTTCAGCAGGAAGACTGGAGTAGAAAATTAAGATAGCATGGGGCTGGGGAAGGATGGTGGGAGTAAGAAGGAAAGAAGGACCTGTTACTGCTTTTAGTTAAAATATTCATAGCTAGGGCTCTCTCTGGTGGCGCAACTGTTAAAGCACCACATTATGAAGCTCACAGAAGCCACTGCAGCACAAGTTCGATGGCCAGCCAGGGAGCTGACCCACATGGTGCAGAGACCTCTCCTGACCCACCCACTGATCCCCTCAGCAGTGTGTTTCAGTAGATCTGTCCTGTTTCTCACTCAGTCTCTGGTGAATCCTCTCACCCACCACACCTCTGGCCTATACCTCAGTTCTGTAAGGATAGATAGATAGATAGATAGATAGATAGATAGATAGATAGATAGATAGATAGATAGATAGATAGATAGATAGATAGATA